ATTATCATTATCATTATCATTATTATTAAAGGTGGTCAGCCCGATGGCTGAATAAAAGCGTTCACTTATGCGTTGATATGAGTGTCGGGCAGTGAACCCGACATAATTTGCATCATGCAAACCATATTTCAATGTGAGTTAAGCTTTAAACATCGTAATAAAAAGCATTCAAAACAAGGAAAGCTACAGGAAGGGGGGGGGGGGGTTATATCCGGGCGGGGTTATAACCGGATGTCTGTAGATGGGCTTACAACCGGGGGAGCTTATAAACGACAGTTTACGGTAATGTGTTCTATATCCCTAACAGTTCTGGGCGCCTGCAGATAATAAGCACTTTCTGGGTGTTTTGCTCGGTTGAAAAGCGCCCGTAGGAACTTTGCACGCTGTCCAATACTAAGAACATAATGGACCAGCGGCAATAAAGCATTTACTGCGCCTCATATCTATTTAGTTCTTGGTCCCCTCAGTTACCTTTCTAAGACAGGTTTTTGTAATCAGCCTAAATTCCACGCATTCTTCTTCCGCAAAGTAAAGATGACATAATTTTGTGACGAATGGCGGTCTTCAGAGAGGAAAAACGTAATAAGCATGCGCAAGTTTTGGCCGCGTGCCAGGTTCCAAGTTTGAAATAAAAATGGCGGGAATTTCGCCGATCGGTAAGAAAAAAACGTTACGAACTTTACATTCTTTTCCAATTTTCCCGGTAAGAAGCAACATTTTAAAGTCACTAATGAAAAGCTGGTGTACTGTTGTTGCGGGAATCAATTGTTTTCGAACAAAATTAACCTAAAGAAGGTTTCCGAACCCTTTATTTCCCCGCGGTATACAAGATATTTCGGTGTGAAGACGGTTTTTTCCACAGACACTCTTTACGTATTGCATCCATATAAGCACACCCCTGAATATATAAGTAAGGGAGCCTCTCAGCAGGCAGGGGGAGCCTTGTTTTCTTAACAGTGAAATGCCGAAAAAATTAATGCCTGCCCAAACATAAATAAATCAACCGAACGACATCCTCGCGTACCTTATTAGCAGTCTGCCATTCTTTCCATCACTGCAGCCTGCACTATTACCTGTGCCCGCAAGTAAGGCTAGGGATGCGCAGAAAGCTGCGAAGTACGTTTTTCTGTTCTGAACTGGCGATTCTGAACTCACTCGTTCCTAGGCTCGCTAAAAATAGAATACCTTGAGACCCCACCGCTACAAAAATATAAAACAAGGAATATTTGTGTACCTCTTTCGAACACGGCTCGCCTTCATCTGGTTTTTTAAAGCACGACTTTGTCCAAAAACAGCAACCATCCTCGCCACAGTCGTTGTTGGAATTACAAGTCTAACAAAAGGTGAAAACGGAAATAGTCAAGGAGTATCCTCAAATTTAGCAGTCAGTTTCACTTCACTGTGTAGACCTGGATTTTCAAACCATAGCGGTTTGCACGAGAATGATTTGCTCGTCACAATTCGATAACAATCATCAGACACTTACTGCCAGGCTTACTGGCCTTCTGGTTTGTCAATTTTCACGAGCCATAATCGCGTGAGTCTGGCAAATTCAATAGCTTAGTTGCCGACAAGAGAGGCTGAAGAGTAAGAGAGTTAATCCCTCATACAGGCCTTATTCCCAATCTTATCTCTCTAAAGTAATTTTTAGATCACCCCGGATTTTAGAAATCCCAAGAGAGCCTGGAAAAAGCCAATCCTGTGACGCGAATTTTGCTAACGTGGACAGTCCAAGCACCTTACCGCGCATCCTCCATGAAAACATCCACGCAACGCTCGCGCTAACGTAATCCACAGAAGAACTGGGTAACATGTGTAAAAATAATGTGAGAGGGATTACCTTGGGAATAAGGCCTATACAGGGGATTCTCTCTTGACCCGGTAGGTTGAGTTTGTTGTTGGTTCTCGCTTCAGCCCCGAGGGTTTTTCTCCAGGTTCTCCAGTTTTCCTTCCTCCACTAAGGCTGACGTGGCCTTTTCTCTACATATTGTAATTTATTTATTTATTTATTTATTTATATTTTTTAATTTAAATTATTCATTTTCATCATCTCGCTGCACTTCTTCCTACGTATGCGTTTAATCAGATTTATGGAGGAAACTGGCTGATTGAGGCCAAATCACGATGGGCGAATCATAACAATGAAATGAGTCACGCTTTTAAAACATGGGTCTATCCACGCAGTGCATTGAAATCGGCTTAGGTAAGCAAACTGGGAAGTAAGGAAACCAGAAGCCGATCGGCTTTCTCTATCCAAGTAGCCCGGTGGTTCACTGGTATATATTTTAACGTTTCTACCGAAGAGGCAGCGTGGCCGAGTGATTAGGGCGCCAGACTTGAGATACGGGGATCGCGAGTCCAAGTCCCGCTCTGACCACTGAACCGGAGTTGTTTCTCGGTAGACCTTAATTCAACTCCTCGGTCATGTTTGTAAATAACCAACTGGTCTGCCTCTCGCTAGTGGGGATTTTTAAGCCTATTATGTTTAGTTGATGTATTTGTTTCCTTTAGTTTAAATGGCAAACCTGTTAACTAGGTACGGGTAGCTAAGCGCATTGACCACTTATAACATTTGAATAAATATTACTGAACCGACAATTCCTGAAGGTAGTGGATTCAACTGCCTTTCGTTAAATCGAAGCCTCAATGTTTTCTAGCCAGAATCGACGAGAAGACAATTTGGAAAGTGTATGAATGAACGGCAATTTTCAAGCGTTACACAGTGTGAAGTTTCTAAGGAATTCAATCCTTGCCCCGGCCCACGACTGTCTAAACCTGATTCTGTTAATTTCAGTTAACGTTGCAGCACTATGAGACAATATTTAGAAGAACAAGAACAAGGATAGTTCAGGGTTAAACAAACTGACTATCCCTATCTTAATTTGCTTTTGAAATAACGCAGAATGATTCTGGCAAGATTTGCGCACTTACGGCAAAAAATACGACCAAATATAGGTACTCTTACAATTGTCACCAATTATATGGAAAGCACTCTTAACCAAGAACTGAATATAAAGTATTTCCTTTCACTCGTCTGTTTAACGCAAAGCAAGAAAATCGAATTGGCACAAACCTTACTGACTTCACTCAGATCTAGTGGAAGATTCTCTTTATCATTTTTCCAGTTAGAAAGTTTCCGGCCGTCTGCTAAGAGAAAACTCACCAGAAGAACGAAGACGAAGCACTTCATGTTGACTTCAGTTAGATGGGCACCTTTAGAAACGTACAACCCAACACCAGCGAGTCAAAAAAAATCTCTAGTGAACTGACAGCCGTTTTGATAATAACAGATTTGCTTTCTAATAAAAGTGCCTCCCGAAAACTAAATATTTAGTGCGCTCCTCGGACAGTTATGGAAGTATTGTGTAATGGAAAGATTTCTTGTCGTTTAAAAACTGACAACCTGGACGGAAATTAGCGAAAATTAGGATTTTAAAATTGAACAGCTGATTCTTCGCCGTTGATAACATATCTTTTAGTTATGCAAATGTCTGGAGATTCGACTGCTCTCCGCAAAATTTTTCATTATATTAGATAAATACGTTTGATGTGTTCCTCTATGTCAGTCGTGCCACAACTGAAGTTTATTTCCAAGAGTGATGAAGATCTAGGTTCTCCTTACAGCAATAATATATTTCCAAATGGGCGGCTGATGAGAAGAAAGAAAATCATCAACTTGTATTGACGCACGACCGAGTTCTCAGAGGTAGTTTTAGTAAAAATGTATGACTATGTGTTAGGAGAATTGAGACTACAAGAATCAATAGCTCTCACTACATGACAGGGGGGTATTAATCTTGGTGTGACATATTTGCATAGTTCGATAGTTTGTTGGTATATATTAATTAAACAACAAAAAATCAAATTTACTTTTTGTTTGCTGGTGGCAAGCACGGTAACAGCTTGGTTTCCTGTGACGACCCACAGTTTACACAGTAGAGAATTTTTATTTTCTCAATTCAAAGGTACAGTGACATAATTGACCAAAAAAGCCGAGGTAAAGAGCGTGTGTAGAGCAACTAAAACGAGAATTATCGAACAGACCCGCGAATTGTCAATGTAAGCGTGCGCTCTTAAACGTGAAGTGTGAAAAGGGAAGCGAAAAGGGCGCGTCGACGTCATGTGTTTTGTGTTTAGCGCTTCATCAATTTCACCCTTGAGCTCAAGCGACTGCCCAAAATGTACAGCACTTCTAGAATTTCGCACCAGTTCCAAAGCTATAAGAAATGTTTGCTAAGCCTGAATTTATATAGTTACAATCAATTTATGACTTTTTCACGGTTACAAAGAAAACGCTAAGAATTTGCGCGCCCCTGAAAACGGTTCAACTGAAAACTGTTAAGTTCAAATTCCTGTGGCATAGCTTGTCACCTTTTAAAAAACATCCAATAGCAAGAAACTTTAATTTGATTATGGATATCCATATGAGAATCAACTATAGACTGCTTTACGATGAAGATAACTGACGGCCAGGAAATGAGATCTACGTACATACAGGTGAATTTGAAGAAATATTGCATGTCACAAATGTAATACTAAACCTCAAAACGTAACCAACGTAAATTGACAATGTTGAAACTGATGATGAACTTACTTCACTCTTATGTACATAAAACCAACAAACTGACGGCTGAATTTCCGACTGTTGTCAGAGAAATGAAAATTGTTTAAAAACAAAATAAACATTTTAACAACCACTATCAAAGCAAGCAGGCCTCTAATGTTCAACTGTTCTAGAAAAAAAGTGCTTTTGGCACTTTTCTTTTAACTTTTGTTCTTGGTGAGTATTTTAAATTGGTCCCTAAGTGCTAGAACGATTTATAACGACTCGTGAAGGTTTGAGTTCCGATCCCGTCGAAGCCCTGATGCTTTTTTTTTTCTTTTCAAGTTCTCAAGAGTACAAACTGCAGTTGAAACTGTCATCAACTGCGCTTTTGTCATTACCCTTTCGTTCTTTTCACAGCATTTCCCATACTATGCACCAAATTTCGATTGTAAGGCTTAAGCAGTCTTGAAGATCTTGGTAAGAGCATATGGTTGTCATGGGCTTATGTAGTGAACCCATACGATTTCAAAAGCGTAATTTAAGGCCGGTTTTCACTACGACATAATTAACCACAAGTACAAGCACGAGCATAAGGGTAGTGAGGACGCGCCCCCGGGGGGTCCTCCCTTATATGGGCTATATAGGTATCTGTGGCCCGAAAGGGTGGGGTTTTCAGCCGTTTCAGTCATAAACAGGGTATCGATTTTGGCCATTTTGGTCATAAACAGGAAAAAGGTTGTGCAATTTAGTCTTGAACTGCGTATATTTCAGTTTTTAAGAAGCTACTTTTTCTTTCAGAAAAATCGGGTAGGGAAAATTGCAGATTTTGGTCACAAATAGGGTAAGGGTTTTATGAAGCGGGCCGCACACCCCCACCCAATTTTTCTGGGAGTACCCCCTGGGGGACGCGCACAAGGCGGGTGTACGCACAAGCACACGCTTATTCTTGTGCTGTTGTCCTCCTCATTGCTGTTATCCTTGTGCTTGTGCTTATACAATCGAACTTCCCGTAAGCGACCACCCAAAATGTCAAGCATAGGTGGTCGCTTATCAGAGCTTATACCATATCGAGTCAAAATGTTGCCTCAGTAGCATATGAAAACTGCAGAGACTTACCCCATATTTTAATGTTTTATTCATGTGAAAAGTCAGTACTTCCCCTTGGGAAATTTCCGTCTCTTTTACTATCCACTAATAAGATAATGTTACAACACTTTATTATCCAATTCCCGCTCTATTATCTGTCAAGTGGTCGCTTACGGGAGGTTATAAACAGGAGAAAAGTTCAAACTTTTAGCTCTAAAAGCGATCCCGTCGCTTACGAGAGGGGGTGGCTTAAAAGAGATTCCAAATATAGCGATTTGACTTGGAAACCTTTGGTATTTTGGAAAACTGGTCGCTGAGGAGAAGTGTTCGCTTACGAGAGAAAAGGCGCTACCGTAGCGGCTTAGCAGCGCTTTAGTGCGCCTGCGTATGTTTCGTTTCTTATGCTTATGGAAACATTGCGGGGAATGATGCACGAAAACCCCGGGGGGACCCTCGTATAAAAAGGACCGGAGGGTGCTCGTCGTACCTTTTAGTGGTTAACATGAGCGATCTTGGTTCCTCTTAGGGCTTCTTTTCAAATTTTTCGACGAGCACCCCCGTCCTCCTAATATGGGAATCCCCCAACCCCGAGTGAATCACTTAAACTAAGAGCACTGGTAATGATGGGTAGTAGGCTCATGGGTGTTTACAAGAGGGGACGTAATGCAAGGAGCAAATGTCAGGGGCACCCAACCGATCGTTTCGGTAAATTATCTGTTCGGAAGGCCTTTAATCCCCTCTGATTTTCTTAAGAGAATTATCACCTCGAACTTTCCTGATATGAGAAATTTAATGACTGTTGTTTTCGGATTGTTAAAAATGTCGTTTTGGGTACTGAAAAAAGGTCAGCTATCATTCTCGGAAAGGCGATAAGACCTAAGGTTTTCGGGAAATGGACAAAAAAGCCCTAATAAATTCGAGAATACTCAAGTTCCCCTAGAATTACCGAACAGATAAATTTTTTTTACCGCAACCTAAAGTTAACCTACAGAGCTTTAAAAGTACTTCAGATAGCCTAAAACAGCGTTTAAAAGCATTCGAGAGAAAACGGTCGTTGGGTGCCCCTGAAATGTAGGCAAGTAATTAGGGAAACCTTGTCCCCAGGGCTCTGTTCCCTTCCCTGGAGAAGACATTGAGAGATTCTGTGACTGGTTTTAAAGTTTCAGTCATTTCACACTGCCCAGAGAAGTGCGAGCAAAGAGTATTGCTATAAATATACGCGGACGTTGTGACAGCCTTGCAGTGGTCTTTGACTTCTCATCGTTTTACTTTTCAAGTTTGGCTGATTAGATCTCCTGTGAGATCCAACGTTCAATCAAGCAGGATCTTTGTCCACGGTTTTTGTAGTTTGTTTAGTTTGTCAAGCGGTTGTCAGGCAAGGAACAACGGTATTAAAACAGCATTATAAGACTCAAAGTCGATAGAAACCGAGAGAGGGTAGCCTATAAAATTCTCCTAACACAAAAACAGTGCTTATCCAATAAAAATAATAATACTGGTAAAAAATACATATATATTTGTTAGCTTTTAATTTCTGCCCGGGTTTCGGGCATAAAACCATGTGCGTGCACACTGAAAACGCTTGAACGTCATCTTCGTGTTTCCGAAAACAACGAGCATTTGTATTTCCGATAGAACGAAAGTGCGAGGACTCAATACAGCCTGAAATACAGGCATAACTTTCCGTTGGGTGACCTTGTCCCCGAATCATGCCACCGGCTAGTCTAACACTGGTCAAAACTGATTTTTTTTTTTGTCTTCCCAGACATAAAGGTGACGATCATAAACATATTATTCATCCGACACCCTTGATTTGACATTTGAGAGACTTGAATACCAACAGATTATCGGCATCCCGTGCGTGAATATTTAATTAGGTGTTCAATTGACTTGACAACAGACTCGCGTCCTTGCCGCTTAAGTTGATATTCCTGTAGACTCTTTCACAGAGAGCGATTGAACAGAGCTAGGTAATGTCTTGCCGTCCACTTTGAAGGATTCTGAGCCAGTTTTAGAGTCTAGAGTGGGTATTGTTAACTTCAAAAGTGTACAAAAATGTTCGGGAAACCTCGATCGTCTATTCCCGTGGCCGGTAGAACTAGCATTCCTGTGAAAAGAACAGCACAAGGGACCACAAATGGGAGATCAACGCCGGCCAGCGCGAATTCTAGTATTCCTGGAGCCTCTAAGGTGAGTGGAAAGTTATTTGAAGCACCAGGCTTTGATTTATGAAAACGTTTTTCGAGTGTCTTGTTTGAAATATTATATTATAGATCGAGTATCGTCACACTAAACGAAGCTAAAGAGCACTTGACAACAGACGAACGGTAAACTAAGTAAACATACAAGATGCTCTTGAAAGCAGATGGTAGTCAACACTGCTGAAACTATTACAGTACTAAAGCTATTCGCGTTTTCTAGTTTTCGGAATCTGAGCCACTTCGACAGTGTTCACTGGAACACGATAAAACGTCGTAAACGCATTTTAGTTTTATGTCGTGACGATAAGCGGACATCATGAACAAACAATCAGTGTTGCAAGGAACTTTCTTGTTTGCATCAATCCAGTAGTTTGCCTGGGGAACAAAGCAGCAAGTTATGTAGAGCTCGTTTTTAAAATAATTCTTCCTCGCAATAAATGTTTATGGTTTGCTAAATTTGTCAGATAAACAGATATTATTAAGAATTAATCATTATGTATAAACATTTTCGAACTGCTCTTTTGGGATTTGAGACAATGTAAAGACGATCTTTCTCTTGCCCTCCAAAAGGCCGTGTGGATCAAAAGTTCTGATCAAAGACGTAAGACAGTAAGAAAAATTATTTCACGTGAATTGAAAGGAAACCAAACCAGCTCGAACTTGTTTATCACTAACTATATAGTCACGCAACATACATATGACCTACCTGTTTGGTTTGCATGTACTTGATATTTTTGTAAAGCGGCTATACGATTCCTTTAATCGATTTTACAAGCTGGAAGATTTCTTTAGTTGCTTTTACGAATAATACATTAATTTCTCAAATTAATGTCTATTTACATACGACCACAAACTTTGGTCACGCAAGGTTCGTAAGTAACAGCTCTAGATAAATTGTCAAACTCTATGAATTTTGATGTAAACAATGTGCAAGGCTAGCTGATGTCATACGCCTTGCTCTCCATTTCTGGGCTGATGTTCAAATAAATATTAACCTGACAAAGTTATCAATGACTGAATTTGTGACAGGCAAGCAGAAATTCTGTGTCGGATCTCCCAAAAGACGCCAAACTACTCAGTGAGATGGTATTAAACCTGCAGAAGCAAGTTCAGGAGAAGGACGATGCGCTAATGGACATCAGTGACAAGCTGTCACGAAAGTCGGAAGAATGTGAAAGCTTGGTGGAAGAGCGCGACATGATGAGGAGTAAAAGTTCCTTTGACTTGCAACAGGTAGGGAGTTCAGTTCTAAGCACTTCTGTCGGTATTTTCTCTATTAAGCTTCCTTTTTGCAATATAAAAATGTAGGATTAATGGCACAGGACGAAGCAACACCCATGCCTATCACACGCTCACATTGAGAGACACAGCTACCTGCAAGTTGCAGGTCGCATTTGTGAACAAAAATTCAAAAGTTCGGACAGGCCTGCACGACTCCTGTTGTACGCAAATGTGTGTTCTTTGCCCTTAGAGTTTTGATCGGACGAGTATATCTTTGAGCGATGTACCTCTTTTGTAAGAGATCATGGGAGGTTCTTTGTATATCTCTCGCAGCAAAGGCTGATTCAAAAGTTGTGACAGGCCTGCACGACTCCTGTTGTACGCAAATGTGTATCCTTTACCTTTAGAGTTTTGATCAGGTTAGATCTTTGTTTATAAACGATAGAAAACACTCTTTTACTGCTTCTCCCACGTAGAAATCTGTAACATAAAGAATGTATAGGAACTCCGTATGTCAATGCCTTAAAACACTGAGATTGTTTCGGAACAATCAAGAACTGCAGAAAAGACTGGCCTACGGCTCGTGCATTTTACGTTTCTGTTGTATCCGTCTTACGTGACTTTCAAGGCCTTTGCCAATCCTTTGCTAGGTTACTGAGGATCAAGACGCTCTTCAAGAAACGCTCAAGAAGAAGGACAGGTACATACAAGAAATAGAGAGGCGACACAATGAGGAAGCTATGGAACTCAAAAGAGAGCTTGAAGAACTAAGCAACGAACATGAAATCGAGTTAGAAATGCTAAAGAAGGAAATGGAAGACCTAAAGCTGAGGGAGGAGCGCTGGAAGCGAGTCGCCGAGCTAAAAAAAGACTCTGACTACGACTCGAGTGACGTAGGATCACGTGATCATTCGCCTGAAATCGAGGCTCTTAAGGAGCAAATGGCCTCGCTACAGAGTAATTACGAAGATGAGATCATAGTGCTCAAAGAAAAACTTCAAAGCGAGATTGTCAAAGCAAGCGAGGCAGCCGACAAGGTGGAGCAACAAGAGTTTGAGTTTCAGGAAAATTTAAGCGAGCTGAAAAGCGCATTTGAAAGCGAGAAAAACGCGCTTTTGACGGAGCATCAAACTGAGATGGACGAGTTGAGACGATCGTACGATGAAAAGACAAGGGGAATAGAAACTGGTACACATTCTTCCATGGACGTTTCTCAAAGGGAGCAGTACGAAAACCAGATTTACCAGTTACAAGATCAGGTTACAAACTTGACCAATCAACTTGAAGCGAACGAGGCTCAAATGGCGCAGGACATCCTGATCATGAAAAGCGAGTTTGAAGCGCAGTTGGACGGGTCAAGGAGTGGATTTGAAAGCGAAAAACAACGACTCAAGAGCGTGATAACGGAACTAAAAAATCAAGCTGAGGATACCAACGCCAAGCATTCCAAAGATATTGAACAAATGGAGGAGGCGTTCAGAAGAGAAAAAGAAGAAATCCGTAATGCATCGCACGTTAATGAGGATGAGAACGATGAAGCAATGCGAAGAAAAATCGAAGAATACGAGAATGAAATAAAGGAGTTGAAGGAAAGTCTCCAAAATGAACGACTTGAGTTTGTTGAGGCGCGCGAGTCGTTGGAAAGTATGATTGCAGAGCAGGAGAAGGAATTTGAAGGAAAGGAAGAGAAACTTCGCGCAGAGCTCAATGAAGAACATCAAATGAAGGTGGACAAAGTAGTCTCCGATTATGAACAACGCCTACAGGAAGCAGAGAGAAGCTATCTAGAAGGGAAAGACGTTGATGGAAATCGTGATCGAACAAACGAAGAACTTCAATTAGAGATTAAATCAATGAAGAGGTTGCACGAACGAGAACTTGAGCGGCTTCACGAGAACTTGGAAACTCAGCAAGCAGAGAACGAAAATCTTAAAACCGAGTTCGACTTGGTGGTGACGGATCTTTCCAGCGAGCTAGAAAGCAATAAGAAACCAGGCAAGCCTCCCATGAAAAGAAGAGAGTCTCTTGTTCTCAAGGAGCAGATTGAAAGGTTGAAGGGAACTCAAGACGAGGAAATTCGGTTGCTGGTAGAGGATGTAGTTTCGTATAAACAAAAAGTCGCAGAGCTGGAAAGTGAAGTGCAGAGGTTGAGAAGCGCGGATGAGAAAAAATCCGAAGCTGACATTGATTTACAAACAAAAACACCCGAACCTGAGTATGAATTAGAAGTTATGAGAGAGAAGAACAGCAATAACGAATTAGAGCTTCAAGAGTACAAAGCAAAAGTTTCAGATCTTGAGAAGCAGTTGGAACTAAGAAGAAGCGAGCAAGAACATGTTGAGGAACAAGATGAGAACAAGATTTCAGACCTTGAAAATCAGCTTGACGTCTTGAAGAAGGACCAGGCCAACTCCGAAGCTAAAGTGGAACAGTACAAAGCCACTATTGAAACTCTACGGAAAGACGTGGAAGCTGTTAACGACGAGAAACATAGGCTAGATTCCGAAGTACAAAATAACGAAGAACAGATTAAAAATCTTACTGACAAGTTAAAAACTACTGAAGCGAAGTTCAGTGAAGAAGTTCAGAGCATGCAAGGAAAGATAGCGAATCTGCAAGCTGAAAAACAGGATATAAGCAAAACATTGGAGAAACAGTCTGGAGAGAGTGAAAGCAAAATCGAAGAGCTTACGAAAAAACTCGAACAGGTTGAAAATGAAAGTAAGAATTCCATTGACGCACACAGGGAGAAGTCAGAAGAGGTCATTTTAGGACTCCATGAAAAAATCGAAGCACTTACAGAAGACTACACGAAGGTCAGGAAAGAAAAAGATTTGCTTCAGCAAGAGTTACAAGACCTTGGACTAGGTGCCATCGAAGGCGAAGATGGAAAGGGTACAAAAATAGCGCAATACCAACAAGAAATAGAAAAACTATCGGTGAAGATTGAAAGTCTGGAGAATTATCGAAAACAGTCGGAAATTGAAAAACAAGATCTTCAAGAAGAAATCGAGAATCTTCGTTACCCTCAAAATGTCGAGCCAGTGATTTCTTTAGCTGCAGTCGATGAAACCTTTTTGCCAAATCCGGCTGGCTTGGGTCTGGAATACGAGCAACAGATGAAGGGGCTTGCGGAAGATTATGAAGAAAAAATCGAGAAGCTGGAAAGAGAGCTCGAGGAAGAGAGAAGCAAGTCAGCGGCAAAAACGAGACGAATCGAGTCGGTTAATTTGGAAATTGAAGCCTTGCGTCAAAATCTTGAGCAAGAGAGACATTCCGTAAATAATTCACAAGAGCGCATTATTAAAATGCAGGAAAAACATGACGAAGACTTAAAGAACTTAAAAGATGAAATAGCTTTGAATGCGAAGAATGGTGAAACTACATTTTCCTCGAATGAAGAAGCTGCGAAGGAGCAGTTTTTGAAGACAATTAAAACTCTTGAGGCTGATCTGGAAACGGCTCTTCAAGCTAACAGGGAGCAGGTGGAATATATCACCGAGTTGAAAACACAACTTGAGGTAGCGCGTCATACAAATGTAACACAGGAGGGAGAAGTCACTACGCTCAGTAAAGAGCTTGCAGAGTTTCAACAACAACAGAAAGCGCACGAGGCAAGCATCACTGCAGAGCAACTTATAACGAGCGAAGGGCACGCTAAACTGGTCGGGAATCTTAAAGCTGATTTAGAAGCGGAGCGCAAATTGAACCAAACACAACGAAACGAGATAAACAGGCTTGAACGGGAACTGGAGACCTTTCAACAACAACAAATAGCGCACGAGGCGAATCTAACGGCAGAGCAATTGAGAGTAAGCGAAGGACACGCTAAGGAGGTAACAGAACTTAAAGCAGATTTGGAGAGAGCGCAAAAATTGAACAAAACACAGCAAGAAGAAATAAGCGAGCTTAAACAGGAGCTAGAAGAGTTTCAACAACAGCAAATTGCACATGAAGCTAATCTAACAGCGGAACAGCTTAAAATAAGTGAGTCACAAAAAACGCAAAAGCAAGAACTCAAGAGGAAAACGAAAGAAATCACAGCTCTCAAGTCCGAGTTAGAAGACGCGCAGCAAACGAATAGGAAACAATGTGATGAACTCGCAAGGGTTAAAAGCGAGCTTGATGAACTCAAAAACTCTCGAAAACGCTTCGAAGAGGATTTTCTCGTCGAAAAATTTAAGGCAGACGAAGCGAGTGAACGGAAGATTAAAGCCTTAGAAGAAGAGGTGAGACGAAAGGTAGAGGAAATGTCCAAGCTATTCACCGTGCTTGACACAGAGCAGAAAGGGCGAGAGAGAGTTTTAATGGAAACAGAGAAACATTTAACGCATATGCACCAAGCTGAACAGGAGAAAATTAACTCGGAGAGAATCATCGCAGAGCTTAAGAATCAAAATCAAGCGCTACGAAGCGAGCTGAGAAAAGAAAAAGAGCAATTTGCAGCGTTTGTTTCGCAGAGCAAGAAAGCGCAATCTGAAGAGCACGAGGAAGTCGAGAAGCTTAGTAGATCATTAACCGAGTCTGAGATGGACAAAGGAAAGCTCACGGACGAGATGGAGACGTGCAAGGAAGAACTAAACAAAATGGAGGAAAAATACGGTAAGCTGAAGGAAAAGTTTTTAGCTCTGAAACAAAAGCGGAAGGAAGAAAAGGAAAAATATGACGAAATTCTATTAACGCCAAGGTTCGAAATGGGATTGCAAACAAGTCTTCTGGAACCCGAGGATCTAAATCAAACTAAAGAACAGCTTTCGACGTCCATTCGAGAGCAAGGCCGTCTTGAAGACGAGTTAGAGTCTCTTCAACGAGATACTTACAAGAAGAAAAGTGAAATTCAAGCTCTGAAAAGAGCCAACGAGGTATTGAGAAAGCAAAATCAAGTTCTTTACCTCGAGACAGAGAGCCTAAGGAGGTCTGGACACAGAGATGACATCGATGTTTCCGAAATCGAGAGACAAAACGAACAGTTAATGAAAGAGAAAGATAATCTAGAGATAGAAAATCGCTATCTCAAAGAGGCTTTGATTGAGAGAGAAAAACAGGATGAAGAAGGCAAAGAAAGGGACAGTTTATCAGATGACTTACCAGAAACAGAGCTTCGAGATTTAAAGGAAAAGCAAGCAAGAATTGAGCAAGAAAATTTTAAGTTACACGAAGAGAATGAATTCTTGTTAAAGCAAGGTAAACGTCTCCAATTCCAAGTCGATCAACTTGAAGACGAAGTTCAAAGGCTAAAACGTCAAACTCCTCTGACGTCAATACCTAAAGTGGAGGCTCAGTCTCAGCCTTTCGTCGACGAGCTAATCCGCAGAGAATCTGGGACCCAGCTCAACGTGGAGTCGTTACCGGGCTCATTCGGAGGAGCCCCACTCAACAGTTCCCTCGAAGCCCAACGATTCGCGGAAGAAAATCAACGAATAAAAGAGCAGATTGCCGTGTTGCAAGGACGGCTAAGACAAAAAGAGAACGAACTGCAAAACACAAATGTCTCACAGACAGGTGAAATGGAGGATTTAGCGAACGAGAGGCAAGTGCTGCTCGCGCAAATCGACTCAATGAAGGAAGCGCTGGAGAAAGACGCGGAGAAAGGACACAGCCAAAAGGTAAATAATTTAACATACTGTATAGCACATTTTGGTGGACAAAGCGCGAGTGTTGTATAGTGGAAAGCGGGCGCCACGCGCTTCTCACACGCGCGACGCCTCTCAGGCGGGCGACCCCTCTCACGCGCACCACGCCCGGCGTAAGAAAAAGACGTGCGCGGGAGAGGCTGCTCTCATCCCGTTTTAGCAGCGCTTCTTCCCTTGTTCTGAAGTCTGCCCTTATTCTGTAGCCCCTTTCCTGCGTCAAGTGTTCAACTCATTATACCAAGTCTAAGTCATGTCCCCCCCTCGCCGCCCCTTTCTTCTTCCCAATAAAGATGGTTATTAACCCCAACCGACACAATTTCTGAATGGGAAGCATCTATTTCACTGACGCTTGCTGGTTTATGCTTTGAATAAAGTTAAAAAGTATACGTTTGAAACGAAACTACCTCCGAGATCCGCTGGTAGCTCCCTGCTGGTCAAGACCTTATTCAAATGTAGAGTAACAGTAACAGTGGCTACGAGGAACAGTGAAACTCTTTCTTCCTTAGCAAGAAAAAGTAGCAGAATGCGGGTCTTCTCGCGTTGTAGTTCACGTTTTTTATGTTTTTTCTTATCCGGAATTCCTTTCAAAAACAGCATTAGTCTTCTGAGTGTGTAGAAGCATAAACAAACCACGGTATTTATATTGGTTTTATTAATATATATTTTGCAGGTTACCGACTGGGATGCTAACAAGAGGGCCGACACTGAAAAAGAAAACTTAGTTTCACCAACTCCTTTTACTCAAAGAACAGGCCAAGCCCCTTTTACCGGATTCGCCGTGTCTAATCTTCAAAGCTTTGAATTTGATGTGGAGAACTACCTTGGATCGGCCTACTGGGAAGCGACCAAGTTTCTTGACAGATTACAGCAAGTCAGCTAAGACATGCAGAATGACAACGTTCAGGTTTAGAATAGTTATACATACACTTCAATTAATTATTTTCCTTCTTTCCCAACCCGCGCTTATTTTCCTTACCTCGACCCTTAAATTAGCGTACAGGCTGTCTCATCTGAGTTTCATGCACAAACAAACGTTCTTAGGAGAATTTTACAACGCATGTAGGTTTTAGTCAGCACTAGCTTTTAGCTTGAATTTGTTGTCGAACAGTAGAGAGAACTGAAAACAGATGATAAGATAGTGTAAACACTGTAAAGATTGATCTTTCTTTAAACCTTAGGCATAACAGCCTACTTCACAAGTACTCTCTTGTATAACTCGTCACACGATCTTTCCTCTATAACGTTTAACACGGGGAAAAACTGCGTGACCAGTCTGCAGAACAGGTGGTTTAGCGGGGTAGATCGCAAAGCGCGAGACCAAAAATAAATGTTTTTCATTGCTTCTTTCTCGTGCACCGCGCTCGTGACGTGTTTCGGGCTCCACGCTCATGTTTCGCGCTCTGTTCTGCAGGGCTAAGCCAGAAGGGACGTTTCTAAGGATTAGAAGTCTCAACCTCGTTTTTAGGGCGAGCCCTCTTGATCCTCATCCCGGCTTACATTTCTTGACCAAAAACCAGCTTCTTCTAAACTGATAACATAAACAGCTGTTCTGTGCAAGTTCTCCTTCCTCATTTCCCAGTTTTAATTTCAAATATTATTTCAGAGAGACAGTTTATTTTTTTAATATATATTTTGATACGAAAATTTGCAAAATAAAAATTACTTTCATACGAGTGCTGACTGACAGAAAGTACGTACCAGCGTGACTAGACCCACTGCAGTTAAGGTAAAGTCAGTGTTTACAAAAGGGATAATCACTGTGTCTAACACCAGTCTTACACTTTCCCCGACTTTCCCACGGTTGCCTCTGACACCAGCTACAAGTTTTTGTTTTAATGTTTGGCTGACTTAATAGGTCCTTTGCAGCTAAGCCATCACGTGACAATAAATAAAATCAAAAAGGCCAAGTTTGAGGCCCCTGGCACTAAAGAATGACATTTTATGATGGTTTGAATATTTAAAAAACTAAGATTTCTATGGAAAAAGTCTCTTGAGAGCAAGACCTTTCTCTCCAGCAACGTTTTCCATAGATATCCTCTAAATTTTCCAAAATTTCGAACTGACGTATATACTTACTCTTTAATGCCAGGGGCCTCAAACTTGGCCATTTTGGGATTTTCGATATGCTCTTTCCATGTTTGACATTCTTTCAGTTATAGCCCATAATATATAATTTTTTTGAGGACAATTTTGGTCATGTGACCCTAGCTGTAAAGGGCCTATTATTCAACTGTTCGCGAAATTAAACGTAAAATTTGAGACTTACACTAGTTCCACTTCCGATTCTTTCCCCCTTTTGTCATCATTTTGTTATATAGAGCTGCTATAAAGTTCGCAAACCATTAGAGTGCGGGTTCATTCACAAGAAGCAGCCTTCGATTTGCCTTCGATTTGCGCCCTCGGTTGTGTGTACCTAGGTCCCTTCGTTTTGCTACTGAAGTAGAAAAACCGTCATGGCGGTTCGCCATTTTACGGCTCATGCACATTTAACTGAGCAATAAAAAAGAGCCAGGGTAGGTTGACTTCACCCACCCCGTGAGGGTGAATATGTTGACAACCGATGTCGGGGTGGTGGGGTGGGGTCAAACATAGATAGACGGCTGCTGCAATAGGTGGTCTTTATTCTCATGACCAGTCCAACCCTTAGCTTTGAAGTTTATTGGCTCAATTTCAGCTGCTGTTTTGAATTCTTTCCCCCTCCTCCAGGGATAATACCTTAAGGGAAGATTTCTTGAGCAGCACTGGTTGATCCCTCTACACCTTAATATAATATTTCTTGTGCTTTTGAAATAGAGAATTTAACAATTGAGAGCTTCATTGGTTGCTGATCATTTCCTTTATTCTAATGACCCTAATGTTTGATGCAGCAGGGATACTGTTAGGAGAAAGTAGATGTTAGTCTCTCCTGGGGGTGAAAAGTTTAAACCTGTGATTTTCTCTGTAAAGGGCATGGGGTTTTCAGGAACAAAGCGCACGGAAATGAATTATATCAGTAGCCCTTTCATTTTTGTGAAGTTACCATGAGTAATTTCTTCTCACTGTGCAATACAATATCAAGAAGAAAGATGATGAGAACAAACAAAATCTCAACCAGGGGATTAGCAGTTGATCCATTGCTAAATTCTCAGAACTGACTTTAGAGGAAATGTATGACAGATAGTATTGAGAATTACTTTTGAGATCAAGTAAGTGAAAGGTTTAATAAAAATATATACAGTACAAAATGTTAACAAAGAGATCTTACATGTTTGCTGTGATAGTTTGGATTTTCAAGTGGACGAAAAGAAAGTTGCAAGAGATGCAGCCCATCCTCATTTTCCATTTAGTGTTCTGTACTAATGTCGGATATTTTTGCCTGTGGAACACAAATATTTACATAGCGATAGGTACTGATGTTTCTTTTTTTTCCATCGATATGTTTTGATTTTTTCCTTTTGTCTCAATGGTGAACTGCACTTTCTTTGCTATGCTATTATTTTTTGTTCATGGGTTTATAAAATTTTTATCAGGTGTTTGGAAAGCATTTAAGTGTCCTGTTTTGTTGTCCTAAATTTTGATGTTAAATGATGGTATTCAAAGGTAGTCTAGCAGGGGAAACCTATAGAGTCACTTCAACCATAGCTAGTAGAGGGGAGATGTCTTGTGCTCTTGCAACAACTCTTTGAGCTGCCTTCTCTAGATTTGCTGAACAACCCCCCTGCCTCTGCAAGCAACTTTGTTAATAGGATCTCCCCCCCCCCCCTCATCAAAGAGGGGTGTGAAGAAGAGACATCCTGGGAACTAAGCTGTTATGCTGTTATGTACTGATCAATTCGAGGCTTCAACATCCACTCCTGAGGATCTGATCGTCATCCGTGCCCCAGGAGTGGGGAATTTGAACCTTGCCTGGGTTAGGTGGGGAATTTGAACTGAATGTGTCAAGTCTTCCTAACGGAATGCACGTGTGTAATTTTACAGTATGGAGGAGTTTTTAAAGAGGTAAAGAGGTCGCTTTCGTGAGCGAATGGCTCAGTTGAAAAGGTATACAAAAACTGAGCAAAAGTTTTGAGGGAATTTTTAAAAGCTAGAGTGTGGATTTGAGTTCATTTGGGTAGGGCATTTGAAAGCAATTTTGACCCGAGGGGCGGCAACTTGAACAAACCAATCTTCAAAAGGTCAAAAGCCCGGTGGACCCCCTCAGGGGAGGGGATGTTGAGGCTTCGAATTGATCGACTCACTAGTCTCTAACGGCTTCTGGGTCAAAGTCTTGAACGACAAAGCGCCAAATGCGATCCGGCCAACAAACAAAAATCTCAGCTTTGGCGATGTAATATTTTCCGCCTTCAGAAAAGAACAGAGTAACTGCATCTTCAGATCTCTCGTTTAGGGTGACCAGACCGCGGGAAAACCCTGCATCCGTTTTGTCTTGCATGCTAATCTTAGTGTCGAAAAAAACATTCGACACTGCAAATTCGATAACCCTGGTATATTCCGGAGGTGGCTCCATAGCTACATCGGAGCCTAGGACGTTGTTTACATCCAGAATTAAGAAGCCGGCAGTGGAGAACGAGAAAGGAAGACCAATATGATGCCGACCGCTAGGCTGAACCGTTTGTACAAACTTCAGTTGGTTTCCTTGACTCCAGCCGACTTCGCCCGAGAAAATCTTCATTGGAAAGTCCGCACCATTGATAAACTGAATGGAAAATCTGATACCACCATACTGGAGCAGAAACCAATTGCAGATCTGTACTGACTTCAACTTCACTGACTGTTTATCCACTTTTCTCGCAGAAGACTCAACTGTTGATAGCTGGTGCATTGGCGACAAACCTAGGCTGTGTCGAACGGTTTCCACCAGGCTTCTTCCACGGATACTTCTGCTTAAAGCTACAATTTTTGTAAGTTTTCCACCATCAAGTTTTCCTCGAAATGTCAAAAATCTGTCCTCTGACAGAAAAGAAAGTTTTTCTTTAGCATCATTGATTTGACAATCCATTTTTCGATCCACAGTGGCTACGTCGTTTTCATGCGCGATGCCAAAGTCTGTATAAACTGCTTTGGCAACGAACAGTAGAGCCATGAAGCAAGAGTGAGCTTCGGAGTACGTAACTACAGCTGTTACGAAATCTGCCACATCGGGATCTTCTGTCAGCTGACTGTATTCATACTTGAAGGGAACTGGATATTCGAATCTGATCGCAAGCTCACCCAAAAACTGCACGTAGTCATTCCACAAGTTAGGGTCGTCTAATTTCTCTCCTGGCTTCATGCGCCGGAACTGGAGAATCTGATCGGAGACGCGGCGTTTCAGACCGTTGTATTTTTGATCCTGCAACCTTCTGTTAAAGTGAGCCATCTCATCGTGTACAACTTTTGCCACTTGATCCACTACATTCGGTTCATTAGGTTTACTTTCTGTCAACAACCTGCTCACACCAGCCCAAAGACTCCGAATAACAAACCCGTAAGGTTTCCCAACATCAACCAGGTTTGTAAAACTTGAGACAATGTCCAGGACACCCGTTGTAATTTGCAGATGATCTTTGGTTTTAAATTTTTCAATGCTATTCACCGTGGTTTTTAGAACTTTGTCTATTTCTTCAAAAGGTTTCTTATCTGTTCTGCCTTTGTTTTTGTCTTTCTGCTTTTTCACCCAGTCCGTTACCTCATCAAGTTTTTGTTGAGACTCGGGAGAATCAGCTAACTTTGAGCGCAGATCGTTCAGTTCTTCCTCAATTTTGGAAATGCTCCCCGAATCCTTGTTGTTAGATTCCGTCGCTTTTACCTGCAAAAAGATAAACAAAAGAAAAGAAAATCCCTATTTAATTTACTCTGCAAAGTAGTTTACCAATAAAGGTTTCGAAACGAGAAAAACACGCTCCGAGTAGTGTCCAAGTTCAGGGTATTTCAACGTTGCCATTGGCGATCGAAAATCGGAAAATGGTCACAAAAAATAAAATTTTTAGTAGATTTTCCCGGAAATTGTGATCGCCAGTTTTTTGCTTTTAAATGGTCGCATAATGGTCGCAGCTCGGAGTGCTGCCTCTCCAAGAACGTTGAATTTGGATATTGCATATTTGGGGTTCCGCCTGGCCCATTTTGCCTCGGTTATCAGCTCATAGACCTATCGGTTTAGAACTTCTGACTTAGTTTTCGTACACACAATTATAAAAACTTTTTTCCGGATATTTGCGCCTTAAAACAGATTTTTGCATCATTGTTATCACAACTGGTCGTTCAACCGCATGCTTCAAAAATATTTATCTACAGCCTTTTCCTGAGAAAATCGGAAGTCAAAGGGAAGCATAAAGAAATACGAACGGAGAACAATATGACTTAGAAAGCTACCATGGATAGAAATATAGAAATTCAGATTTTAAGTAATGACATTCATTTCTTACCAATATGGACCCATTTTCGTCACAATCGCCGTTCTTCTGTGAGCATTGTTCGCTGGAATAGCCACTGGCGTGGAGGCAAGGGGCATTGAAGGCGGCCAAATATAGTGCGATTTGCAAAATAATCATTTTAATCATTGCTTGAACTTCTGCAATGTAAAATAAAGACAGACAGCAAGTCTATATTTTTACTTGAGAGTTCGGTATACGTAAATTTCAACCGGAAGCTTTGACTGTCACGCTAACTTCGCGAGGTCACGCGAATTTCCAGGAAAAACGGGACGCTGTCAACAAGATCTGAATAAATTGTCATCTCCTTGATACATTTTTCTTCATTTTTTCAAGGATGAAACTATTAAGATTTTTAGACAACTATATTTTCATTTGTAGATTGATAACCAGAGTTTGTGGCGATCATGATGCAGCGAATAATTTCGCTTCGAAGCAAAAATTGGATACACAACTGCATTCATTATCATAGTCCTCTTTGATCGAACAGTTTCACGACTGTGCTTCGAACAGTGAAAGATTCTGCGATTAAGCAACACAACTCTTGTCTCGCTTTCCTCGGATACACCGGCGCTAAATCGTTACTTTTTCGTGTAGTCTTAAGCTTCGCCAAAAGGGATGATGTTTTTCCTTGTAAATAGAATCAGTACTTAGTCAACCATTTTATCACAACTTTAACAAGCGCAGGCAGATCTAGACTATTAATAGGCAGTGTACGCGCTATTCGAACACAATTCTCCAAAGTTTGCGCAATAAAGCCACAAATCATTTACCTTCATCGATGTTCGAACCTTCAACGTATAATCAGCAGTACTTTCGTGGAATACAGATGTCTTTTCGCGACAGTCGTACCGAGGTCCCTCACGACTGGTAGCGACTTCGTTTGCAGATTTCCATGTAAATGAATATTTCAGTGAATTCGATAGACTGTGTCGATGTTTAAAAGTTGTTAGAAATTCTTCTCCCGAATGATGACCCACCTTCTTCAAGTGAAATTCTTCCCGTAAAAGACCGTATTTAATAAACGAAAGGTTGTTAATATTTTCGTGAGTTCAGCTTTGTAAAATGCGCGAAAGGAGCTGTTCGCGTATTACACGTAGATGAGGCAAATTATTGTGAATCAAATTGACTCGCTCACTGCATGAATCTAATCAGACACACAATGTTTTGGATCAGAAAACGTAAGTTATTTCATAGAAATTCAAAGAGAATTGTGGACCACCGTACAAATAGCACATTGGAGTCGCACGTACAAGTGCCGTGCGAATACTTACTTCCTCATTTAATATTCAGTTCCCTGACCACCTCTTGCGGAATCAATTCAATTTTCGCGTGAACGTACTTACCTTAGATCAATTTATGCTTTCTGTTTCAGTCTAGAGCCGCTCTATGCATTCTTTTCAAGTTTAAGTCGATTTTACTCGAATTTCTTTCATAAATTTGCCTGAAGGCCGTAAGTAGCTGTAAGTAGATATTGAAATCCAGGTGTTTACCCATTCTAAGAGCTTTCGGTTTTGAAAACGAGTGGTCCTGCGAATGAAAAGTCTTCCTGCTAGTGAGTAATTTCAGGACTGATAGCGAAAGCCAAGAGATGATCACAACTTGTAAGGCCCTTTGCCCGAGCAGGCACACGATTCAGTCAACCAGATATGCGCCCTTTATTCTCGTTCATGGGATTCAGAAGTTAATCCCAATTGAAGCTCAACATCGAATGTTACGCGATTGTTTAGCGATTCATCGAAAATTAACAGGACCAAAAGTCACTCTGATGCATCGATGAGCCTTCCCAACAATAAACGAAGGATTTCTAAGTTTTCCTTTCAGCACGCGCAGATTACTTGAGCTTTCGTCCTATGCGCGCGTGCAATCATAAAACTATAGGGAGCCACCTCAAGTCTATGCTGCTGCCGCACGGGTAGCTATGGGTGGGATCTGCACGCGTAAACCGCGTTGTCAGTGGTCGGCAGGAAAACTACTCAGATACCGTAAATCGTTTCTACTTCATAAAGCACTGCTATGTTAGTCTACTTTGACAATATCTCAGTGCGTTGGTGGAGATTTCAATTTCAATTTGAAGCAACGTTCCTTTTAAGACACTCCTGATGAAAATGATACAGAGTTTTCAGTGTTAATTTAAAGAACAGTTCCTGTTAGTTCGTTCCTTTTGATGAAAATTCCACGGGCTTCGTTTTAACAAGGCGCAACATGAACTGACGAAGGCGAATGGACATTTCACAACGCTTCGCTTCACAAACGATACCTTCCCCTATTGTACAGTGGTTCAAATCAAGCTACGTAGAGTAACATTCACCTGACTATTGATTGAGAAAAAATATACTACTGAGCCTTAGTATTGAACTGAACCTCGGGCAGTAGGGTGGTGGTGGTGGTGGTGG